AGTTTTGAATCTTTTATTATAACATTAAAATTAATTAAAAAACAAAATCTTTTTTGATTTACATTTCACTTTTATCTGTGGAGTTTAGCAATATAATTTATATAATTTGATATACATATAACATATCGTTAAGTAAAATATAAATTTGGTGGGATAGAGAAAAAATATATACCTAAATGAAATTTTACTTAACCTTTTTGTCCTATTGTGCCATAGAAATTATTATTATCACCCGAGAGCTTAATATTTAATTTAATAGGAAAGAAAATTAATAAAGATTTTAATTGTAAGGGAAATTCCAAATTAATACTGCTTTCCAATCATGGTTGAAGGTGGTGCAAATGCGTGGCATTACTAAAATTTATGCTGATTTTATGGTTTTTCATCTATTTGAAGAGAATTATTTTATTAATTATTCAATTTGTTACGTTTATTGTCTTACTTCTTCTAGTAAAAAGCTCCAGTTTTAGTGAATAATATATTTAAAAGGAATCCCGCTAGAACAAATCTTTTTTTCTTAAAACAATAATTTTCAGAATCATTCCAATTCAATTAATTAAAAAATTTAATGACAAGCAAATATTTTTCTTCATACAACTCCTAATGTTCGCCTCATCAATTTAAAGTGAAACAAGCAACAATATCTCTGCTACATGGTGGCAATCAAATTAAATCACTCTCTATCCTCCTAAAGAGGACGCGAAATTTATCGCCCGCCTCTCTCACTTACAAAACTAATAGGCTTGCAAGAGGGAAGTCTCTCGTCTTCGGCGAGACAAAGGACGGAGGCAAAAGTAGGACGCGCCCATCTAATCCGAGTCGCCATCAGCGAGATGGCTCTTTTAATACGCTGGTGTGCAAGAAGACGCGGCGGCGATGATAACAATAATAATAATAATAATGCCCCCATACCTCCTATTCAGCAGCAGCGCCGGCCGGAATGGGCGAAAAAAAAGCGCCGTGAGATGCAATTCGCGCGCAAACGGAAATGAATGCGATTCCGCAGCAAGCGTATGTTCATTTGCAAAAGCGACACTGCCACATTCATTTCACAGTAAACGGGAATTTATGCTGCTCGCTTTCAGTGGGCTTTGAAAGAGTGAGCGAGAGAGACTAATTGGACTCATTGCTTTTCAATTATGGAAGAACGTACGTATGTGCGAGAGACGTTTCACTGCCGGCTCATGAATGGTTCTTGTGTTTTTATGGAAATTTTAGGACGAGACTGCAATGAACAAAAATGAAACCAAGCATTTCAGGTGACGCTAGTTTAAATGAACAATAGAATACAGTAAAATTTCAATATTTTATGAAAGTTTAATTTCATTTTTATCAATAGAAGAAAAATGCAAACTGCTCTACAGTAGAAAAAGCATCCTTATGCATTTATCAAGAAAACGACCAACAGTCCAGAGTTAAATAATATTTAAACTATTTTTAAATTATACTAATCATTATTTTTTTTAAACCTGTGAGAAGATGTTCAGGAGATGCTAATGAATTGAAAAACGGGCTTTAATGGAGCTTGTTGCAAATATAATTTTATTTACAAAAAAATATACGGCCTGAATTTTTTTATGTCTTTGCGTAAATATTCAAAAGTAGAGGTGTTTTCTTTTTTTTAGACATTACTTTATTTTTTTCTTGCCTATAATTTTATGCAGACAACAACTAAAACTGTTTTTAGATAATGAACAATTTTAAAACTTAGGACAAAGTTTATTTGACCCTTCCTTTTTTTGTTGTATAAATTCGTACACAATATTTTCAGTTGTATTACCTGTATCACCAATTTTTGCATAATGACTTAATGTAAGATGTTGCGTATTTCAGTGTATTGAATGGAGAATAAGTAAATATCAGAATTAGCTTATCGCTTCTTAATTTGAAATGGTGAAATTCGAGATATTTAGTCTATAACACAAATCAGACACACCTCCCATTACGAAAATTACTTTAACTTATTTTTATAAGATCATTCATTAAAAACCCAATTTAATGAAATATATAAACAATTAAAAATAGAAATAAAGTAAAAAAATTATAAATAACTCTTTCACCAAAATTAAATCCCTTCATTAAAATTAAAATATAGTATAATACTAAATAATATAGAGCAAATCTTTTACTAACCACATGGGTCCCCCCAAATTTGATGCTGGCGTCCTGAAATTTTCGTGGCTTAATCCTCATGACTTGAAAGCAAACTCCATAAATTTTTATCAAAAAATTTTCAAAATTGCGGGTTTTACGGGACATTTTGAAAAAATAAAAAAACCTAATTATCTCGGCTCCCCGTGGTCGTATAATAAAAATCTGGATATTTTTGGTTTCGTCTCATCAATATCTACAAATATATATTAATTTAAAGGTCATAGGTCAAAGGTCAAGGTCATTTATTTTAAATTCAAAATTTCAAACTCAAATTTGAAGATGTGCCTCACGCTAAAAGTCAAATTTGACATCGTCATTCAATTCCTTGTGAAATTTTACGTAATATATGTCAAAATTGCGATGTGGTTATTTTTAGTTAAATTTAAAATAAAATTAAAAGATTAAAAAACGTGGTTTTTTGCCCCTTGGTGTGCAGAGTTCCTTAGAATATCATTAATTACTCGATTTGTGTTGATTTTAGACGTATATAGTTAATGACAAAAAATTACCTTCTTAACTAGACCAATCGAATGGTGTGCATATCAATGACCTTTGGTGAACTTGGGTCAAAGGTCACCGTGACCCATGACCTTGAGTGACCTGACCTATATGTGTGATACGTAGTTGGAAAGATCTTGTTAAGAGGGTAATTTTTATCACAGATTTTTTGTCTCTAGGCCTACTAGAATTCAATTAATCGTTGTTTTATGATAATTAAAACGCAATATCTGCATTATAAAAACTAAACAATCTAATAACTTCGGTTCTAGTAGACGTAGAGACAAAAAATCTGTGACAAAAACTATCCTCTTAACGAGATCTTTCCAACTACGTATCACACATATAGGTCAGTTCACTCAAGGTCATGGGTCACGGTGACCTTTGACCCAAGTTCACCAAAGGTCATTGATATGCACACCATTCGATTGGTCTAGTTAAGAAGGTAATTTTTTGTCATTAACTATATACGTCTAAAATCAACACAAATCGAGTAATTAATGATATTCTAAGGAACTCTGCACACCAAGGGGCAAAAAACCACGTTTTTTAATCTTTTAATTTTATTTTAAATTTAACTAAAAATAACCACATCGCAATTTTGACATATATTACGTAAAATTTCACAAGGAATTGAATGACGATGTCAAATTTGACTTTTAGCGTGAGGCACATCTTCAAATTTGAGTTTGAAATTTTGAATTTAAAATAAATGACCTTGACCTTTGACCTATGACCTTTAAATTAATATATATTTGTAGATATTGATGAGACGAAACCAAAAATATCCAGATTTTTATTATACGACCACGGGGAGCCGAGATAATTAGGTTTTTTTATTTTTTCAAAATGTCCCGTAAAACCCGCAATTTTGAAAATTTTTTGATAAAAATTTATGGAGTTTGCTTTCAAGTCATGAGGATTAAGCCACGAAAATTTCAGGACGCCAGCATCAAATTTGGGGGGACCCATGTGTTCGGCAAAAGAATTGCTCTATATTGTTTTTAATAATTAATTGTGAAAAATTTAACGTAAATAAATTTTTGTAAAAATTATATAATATAAAGATAGCAATAAAAGTTTTTGTTTAATATAATAACCTAAATAAATAGCACAAATCCTAATTTTTAAGCTTTAAACAGAAATTTCAATCAAATGCAATAATTTAGACTTACTAAAAACGAAAATCCTAATCAGCTTGTCTTCGCTTTTTTAAAAGTAAAAATAAAACTCTCAAGGAAGATAACATTTATGCCAATATTCTTGTTTTAGAGACGTCTGAGTGGAGCGAAACTACAAAACTAGACTAAAGAAAATAATGGTGTAGCTTTCGCTTGGAGCATCGATCAGCGCGTGTTGCATACTTCACGGCGCGCCGATGATAAATTATCTTTTTAACGCGCTTTAAAAGTCTTTTGCTGTTGGCTGGTGGAGGGTCTACGCCGTGTTGTGTTATTATTTGCGAGTGGAAAATTTATTACACGAGAGGCTCGACAGACTCTTTCTTTCTCTCTCTCGAGCCGCCAGCTTATTTTTTAAATTTAAAAGATGAAGAAGCAAGCAAAGCTCTTGCGCTTTCTTCTTCCTTCTCTCTGCACGTGAGATAAAGACGGCGCAGAGTACGTGCTGTTTATCGTTTGGAGCAGAAAGTTCTCGTTGCGATGCACAAGGCGAGCCAAATTAATAGAGATATATTGACGCGCGGAAAACAAAAAGCGGGGCCAGGAAATGAGAGAGTATAAAAGCTACAGAGCTCACTCAGCTACTTTGCCGCCAGCAGCGTACTATATAAGTCATAAAAAACTTTCGCCGCCATGCAGCATTTAAATCAGGATCTACATCAAAAGTTTCTCTCGCCTTGTGCAGAATGCAAAAGTAAAAACAATAATTTTAAATATAACATTTTATAAATGCCACCGAGGCACTTCTCAACAGCACCCTCGGGCAAAGAGGAATCAAATGAACCGACTTTAACGTTCATATTAACTTAAGATTGAATAATCATAGTTCTAAAATTGCGATACTTTTTTATATGAATCGGTCAGAACAAACTCTAGACTCTCTCAAGTCTCTTTTTGCAAAAGAAATAAAAAATTAAATTTTTATTAAGTTGAAAGTCTGTTTTTTTTTTAATATATATTTTTTTTGCAATTCAATTGCAACAAACTAAAATTTTAAATATTTCTTAACAGTTCTATTCTTGTTTTTAAATTTATCATTAAATCATTTCCAGGAATGAAATTTGATGTGATTTAATACATAATTAAAAGATTTCTATTTTGTCACCATTGCAGAATCATATCAGTTGTTTTCCTTATTTACTACAAATAAATAAAATAGAGTCTTACCTGACACTCGTAGGTTCCGTTGTCGCGTTTCTGGACATATTTGATCTGCAGGGTCCAGTCGTCGGAACCTTCGGCGTGCAGCACTTGGAACCGCTCGTCGTTTGTGTAGGTGAACATCCCTGAGGTCAGGATGTGCCAATCGCGCCGCCGGACCCATGATATCTGCAAAATAAAACATTGAAATGTTTTTTAATTATTTTCCTTGTGTTAATATTTTATATTAATTTATAAATACGCATGCAACGTGCAAATCAAGAATTGGAATCAGCCAGGAAAATTTGTAGTTATTTAAATTAATAATGTTTATTATTCCAATTTGTTTCAAAAATTTGCATTTGAAATATACGCAATTATTAATAAATTAAAGGAACCGGTAAAAAAATTTATGTTGGATATTTAAATTTAAAAAAAAATTAGTTCATAATTACTGTCAGTCAAACATTACTGAATATTTTAAGTGTTTAAATAATAAAAATTGCTCTAGTAAATATTTCAAGATACAGTAAATTTGAGTGCTTTTGAAAAGCTTTTAAATGGTCTCATTTTGGCTGAAAGGCCTGAAAGCTGGAGAAATTTTATGGTCAAAGCAAAGTCTCCCTATGACCATTATTTCTGTCCCAAATTTTTTTATTCCCCTTTGTGCCGCTTCGGAAGAGCCCACTATTCAATCGTAAAGAGCGCAGGGCTCAATTCAACTTGGAAAATATGGTATATTTTCTGCCTCTCGGAAAGGTAGAGAAAGGAAAGAAAGACCCCCGCAGCCCTTTCCAATGGTTACCGCTGCGGCGTCCAATGGCCAATTTGAGGCTATTTATTACCATTTATTACCAGGAGCACAATATCTGCAGGGAGCATCTTCCCAATTGACTTTTTATTGTTACAGCCACTCATTGGACGAGTGGAGCGACCGAACGAACCGATTCCACATGTGGCGAGTGCAGAATAAATTAAGAAATCAATGGCCGGCGGAGGTCAGCTTACGAAAGGGATAAAAATGAAATAATGGAAGGCCCTTTTGCAGCGGTTTGAGAGCCGCATGGATATTATTCGGCTGCTATCACGTCAAGCTGCTTCAATTTGTGAGAGAACGATGCCAAAAATGAAACCAATCGACAAAAAGTAAAGTTTAGGACAAGAAAGGCGATATTATTTAGAAATTTTTAATTTTTTAACAACATCTAATGATAATTTGGTATCGTTTATGACAAATTGATTTTAATTATATAATAGAAGAAAATACAAAAGACTTATTTTTTGTTAAGCCAATATAAAATATTACCGTAACTGCTGTTGATTGGGTTTATATCAATTTTATTAACAATATTAAAAGGAGGAGTATTTTCTAATTTATAAATTTAAGATTATTTTTTAAACAATGATTTAATTCAAAAATAAAAATTATTTTACATAAAAAATGAAATATAACAGGCATTATTTTTTTTAACGGGACCCACTTTTGGCATGGGGTCGGCGGATCTTGTTGAAAATTGGTAGTTTGGTTGCCCTTAGGGTGTAGACAAATAGTTTAGAAGGATTTTTGAAAATTCTCAAAATTGCCTATTTTACAGGGGGTCAAAGTTGGGGATTTTTAAAAAAGGTGTTTTCGAAAATCAAAAATATCTCAGCTCCTGCTGCAGATAGCGCATGTGTGTATATAAACAAAGTTGTAGGAAATTAGACGCCCTACAACTTTGCCATAGTGACCAAGGTCATAGGTCAAAGTTCAGGGTCAACTTTTTAAGCTTGAATTTTTTGATGCGCCACCAAAGTACCTAGTACATAAAAATTTTTGATTCCATTATAGCCAAAAGTTGCTCTAGTTGGTAGTCAACAACATAATAAAATTTGGCGAGACTGTTTTTTTCCGTTTTCGAGATATTTTAGGTCAAAAGCAGAAAAACGTGGTTTTCCGAGCATTTTCCTACACAAATCAACATTTAACCGCCCGTAACTTTTTCCCTGCTAAAGTTACGCAAAAATGTATAATGACAAAAAATGATTGTCTTGACCTGTTCTTTCAAACCATGTATCGCACATAGTGACCAGGTCACAAAAGGTCATTGACCCCGGTGACCTGTGACCTTTCCAAAAATATTTGCTGGAAATGTTTCACCTCGATGAAAAGAAACATAAGAGTATCTGAAATTCAGTTTTGCACTTGCAAGGTCACAGGTCACCGGGGTCAATGACCTTTTGTGACCTGGTCACTATTTGCGATACATGGTTTGAAAGAACAGGTCAAGGCAATCATTATTTGTCATTATACATTTTTGCGTAACTTTAGCAGGGAAAAAGTTACGGGCGGTTAAATGTTGATTTGTGTAGGAAAATGCTCGGAAAACCACGTTTTTCTGCTTTTGACCTAAAATATCTCGAAAACGGAAAAAAACAGTCTCGCCAAATTTTATTATGTTGTTGACTACCAACTAGAGCAACTTTTGGCTATAATGGAATCAAAAATTTTTATGTACTAGGTACTTTGGTGGCGCATCAAAAAATTCAAGCTTAAAAAGTTGACCCTGAACTTTGACCTATGACCTTGGTCACTATTGCAAAGTTGTAGGGCGTCTAATTTCCTACAACTTTGTTTATATACACACATGCGCTATCTGCAGCAGGAGCTGAGATATTTTTGATTTTCGAAAACACCTTTTTTAAAAATCCCCAACTTTGACCCCCTGTAAAATAGGCAATTTTGAGAATTTTCAAAAATCCTTCTAAACTATTTGTCTACACCCTAAGGGCAACCAAACTACCAATTTTCAACAAGATCCGCCGACCCCATGCCAAAAGTGGGTCCCGTTAAAAAAAATAATGCCAACACGAAATTTAAAAAAGTAATTTATAAATAGAAATAAATTAAAGCAAATTTATATTTAGCTTAAGTATTTAATTATGTGTGCATTACGTAATTATAATCTGCGCTTTGATTTGGAGCTAAATTTAAACTTTGAAAACAATTATGATTTTATTGATTTTTCTCAGCAAATTTTATGATTCCACGTTATTTTCTTTTTCTTCTTCTTATAATTTCAAAGAGTGCCAAAGAGTAAAAATGATTTAAAAGTGTAAGGGCTCCAGTTAATCTAGTAATAATTATATATTTTACTAAAAGAATCTGTTTTAGAAAATGTGATTTTTTCCTAACAATAAGAAAAATAATAGAATTTAATTTTACAAAAATACTTATTTTAGAAATATAAATAACGATACCATTCGGGAGAAAGTATTTTTCCATTCAGCAAATTACCCCAAATTAAAGATCAAAAGCAGAATTGGTGGCAAAAACAGTTTGAATTTGCAACTTAATGGTCGCACATCAGCCGAAGTAAAGAAGCTTTTACGCCCGAATATATATGACTCACTCTTCGGACGTCTTTTATTACTCGTGTTGTACACACTCAAAGAAATAGCTACACACCTTAAAACACGCCCGAGAGACGCATAAACCGTTTAATTCCTCGCACACGCCGCTCTCATTTATTCGGCCCGGAGCATTTATTACTCGTCCCTCTAATTCGTCGAATTAAACAAGTTCGGCTGATTTCGTTCGATACGGCTGCAAAATTTATTCACAGTTTGGAGGAGGAAGAAAGCTGCTTTGTTACGAAAAGACCAATTTTCCTGCGAGTTTATAAATATTTTATGGCGCGCGGCGCAGTATTAGCAATTTGAAAAGCAAATCTCGTGGCGCCGCCGACGCTGCAAGACATTCGGAGATCGGTTAAATATTCATTACTTCTTGCGGAGGAAGAGGGTGCCGAAAAAATAATGCAGTCCCTCTAATGCCCCTCTCTGTCTCTGTTGCACTGAACGCCGTGGTTGCTTTTGGTATTCCGACCTCGCGTTCCCTCCGAGGGGATTTGCGTTCCCCCGGGAAGTGACGCGATCCGATGGTTATTTTCTGCTAAGTACACACCAATCCTCGTAAAGGTTGTGTAATTTGCAGCACGTTGAGAGGCGTCCTTTGATTGAATTAAATGCGGTAATTTTGGAATTCAAAAAAGGAAGCCACTTATTAAATTAAACAATTTCTAAAATATATCATTTTTAAAAGGAAATGTTTCTGTTTAACAAGAAAAATTATCGAACGTTAAAGAAAAGGAAACGATCAATTTCAACTTGTACGTATTAATATTCTATTTCCAGCTTCCTACAATTTCGTGGAACAATTATAGAGGAATTATTTGTTTTCGGAACTCTCCAATGCAGACAACCACAAAACATTCAACGGAAAATTCACTATAACGGCTCTTCAGCTATTATTAAGAATGGTATTGCAAATTTGAAGTACACAAAGAACTCCATCATTGTTTTGAATTTTTCCAATAAAAAGCGAGTAATGCTGCAATGAACAATTGGATGCAGGAAACAATCATAATTTACTGTAGCGTAACATTTTATATTTTTTGCAAATGAACTTTCAAATAAGTTGATAAATTGATAAATAAAGGCGAGCTTTTGGCTCAAATTAGCTATCAAAAATGTGTTTCTACACATTTATGCGAAAAGAAAAATATAATTAATTTTTTCACTTATAATTTCTGTGTAGATAAATTACGTTTATTTTTTATGCTCATGCACGATGCCGTTTATTTGTCAAGTGTTTTTTTTTTCGCGATGTAATAGCAAACCATAATTACAGAGTTAATAAATAAATAGAAATAGACAAATAAATTAATGTCTCTTTTCATTTATTTCTGTTGCAACATTAATTAGTGTACTAATTTTCTTCCAAAACTAGACAAGGCACGAGACACGAATGTTAATTTTTTAAATAAAATTTTGAGGAAATCAATATTTGCATAAAATTGAAAAGAGCCCAAGTAATATGAAATAAATATCTTTTTTGTAATCTCGTTTTTTCCTTCAAATTTTAAATCAGAGCAACACAATTTGCAGGGATAAATTTCATCAGAATGTATTTTGGAGAAGATTAATTAAAAAAATACAAAAATTACCCTCCAGTCTTTAATTTTACTCAACTCGGGAAATATTTTTTTCCATAAAACCATCAATTTTAAATTGTAATTATTCCTTACTGGAAATTAATTTTTCATAAAAATAGGTCTAGATGAGCATTTTTGTTCGACGATAAGAAATATTCGAGTTCATGTGAATAATGCAAAATTCCTGGTGCGTCGGAAAAGCGTTCGACGTGAGACAGTTTATGACTGATTTCATTTTCCGCCGCCAGACATCATGAAATTTTAAAACCGGGCCTTGCAATTCTAGCAGGGGGCTGGCGAAATCCCAGTAGATCTTTATACATCCTTCCGTTTTAGTGTCCTGGCGGGACGCGCACTATGCTCAGCACATTTTCATACAAAGACGCGTTTTTCGGCGATCTTTCGTGCGAGGCAAAACGCTGCGAGCACGGCGGCCCTTCAGGCCCTTGAGGGACCAGCACGTCAATCCTCAGGCGACCAACCCTGGCCTGATGCATTCAACACCATTCATATTTATTTATACAACATCTCCTCAGGTGGGGGCACTTTGCAGCAAACTTTGCTAATTAATTCGCCCGCTGGCCGTCGGTGATGCGTGTGTATATGCAGATTAGGCCGAATTAAACCGCCGGTCTCTGGCTTTAAATTGAATATGTCATGCTTATTTCATGACTGGGGACGTCGAGTTTCCGGCCGCCCGCTTTCAAGAAGCGGCGTAATTTGCATTTTATGAGAGGCCGACGAGAGAGAGAGACGCGAATTTCATGTCTCTCCACACTCGCCTTTTTACGCTGCCTTGATTAATTGACGGAGGGATTAGTTTCGGAATTGACGACCATATCGCATGTTGAGATAATTCGACTGTGCTTACTGAGTCTGTTTATTTTTGAAGTTTAAAAGCAATAATATTTAATTTTTTTTTTAATATACAATTATTAAAATTCAAGTAAATATTTTCATTTTATATTAAAATTATTCAATATTTGATATATCTTTTTCCCATAATCATACATAAATGACATACCAAGCGAAATAAAAATTAAGAGTATTCTTCATACAATCGTTAATGATTGAAGCGACTAGATTTATGTAAATAGGCGCTTTAGAAATATTTCAAAAGATTCAAACTCATTGAATTTGAAGTAAAACAAGAAACAGTGTTAAATAAACAAAAACATAAATATGAAATAAATTTAATGTAGATAAATATATGAAATGAAAATTTATATGATTAGTATTAATTTATTTAAAATGTAAAATGAAAATTATATTTAAATATTTATTAACAACTAACATAGACATTAAATTTGTTTTCATAGTAAAATATTAGAATAATTATTCACTAACAGAACTACCCGCATGCAATTTCAACCAGTCTTTTGCTCTTTATATGCTGACTTTGTATTATATTTTGAAATAGACACCAAGTTGAATGATTTAAAACGTTTATTAAGTTGGTTGATTGAAATTCTAATGTCCACGAACTAAAATTCTTGAAATTGTACTGAATTCGGACGATTTTGATGCCCCCTTCTGTCTATCTGCGCAAATTAATCCCACAACACATAATTTACAATTCAAAATTCTGCATGCGTGGCACTGTGCGGGCTTTGAAATAGCATTAGTCCGTTTAATTCACCTCGCGAAGGCCCGTGATTAAATTGATTCCATGAATATCCAATCCATCAAATTGACCGCGCCGGTGTGTGCATTGAATTATTGCACACCGACCGATAGATAGAAACCTATTATTAAGCCTTCTCGCAAATGGATGAATTTTGATCGCGACCTATCACTCTGCCATCACATTTGCATGATTGGCCGTTTTCGGCCGAAAAAAGTTTCTCCGCGAAAGAAAGTCGATTTGACTTAATGAGAAAAACGTCAGAAAAATTCCGTGCACGTACGTACAAAGTTCTCTCTCTTGCTCCCGAGGTGGAACTTTTCCACCTCTCCTTTTGCAACGATAATTAGAGGAGGAAACAGTTAAATTTTCATCATTCGCGCGTAATTCGTACGAATTTAATGCGCCCGGTTGTGGGCGAGAGTGGAGGAGGAAAGTTTTTCTCTCTTTTTCTCGCACTCTTGCAAAATCCATAAGGTGCGGCGCTTTTTTTCCTTCTTCTTCTTTCGCCCTACTTACTTTTCCAGAATTTTAATTAAATATTTGAAATAAAAAGCAAAGAGAGAGAAACGAGGGCTGCTGGTGGCGTCCTTTTCCAGAGCGCACTAGCAACGGCGGCGCATTAAATATTTAACATCAAATTCACATTTTATATTCCCACAGCGCAGAGGTTTCGCTCCTCCTCCTACCAGAGCATGTGATGTGAGCGTATAATGTAATCTATGTGAGTGTGTTTTATTCCGGACCAACCAGAGTTCCATCTCTCTCTCTCTCGTTCGTTCGTTCGTTCGTTCCGTGTGTCCTTTCGGAAAACCTATAAAACTCACCTAGCAAGATGCACGTTTTGCGTTTCGCTCCGACATGCCTGGATACATGATTCATTAGCGAGAGGGACCACATCCACTTCCAGCTAATAGAGACAGAGACCTGCCTACGCCCATCCACCTCTGCATTTCTGTTCGCCCACTCTCGTCAGGGAGATAATAAATTCTGGCATTCCATTGTTTACACGGAGTTGGAATTGGGCTTCTCTGAAATTAATTCGCAGGGTCTAGGGATGAGTTTGGTCGAGTCGGCGGACTCACCGCTCTCTATACTTTTGATTATGATGGGACCGAATTTATCTTTCATGTTCAAAATGTAATAATGTAACATCCTTTTTAAACTTATTCGTTGAAAAATACAATTTCATAAGTGGATTGTTCAAGATCATACTTTGGTGGATTAAAAAAGTAATGAAAAGCAATTCGATTGTTTTTGGGTGCAAGGAAACTTCGCCTATAATTAACAACAATTCAAAGTTTCAAATTTTAACCTTATTTTTACTGATTTTAAACTGAAATTACCTAATTTGTCCATGTTCCTTATCAGTTTGAAATTAAACAACTAAAAATATTCACAAATCAGTAAAAAAGCTGAAAAATCAGTAAAAAAAAGTACGGAAATATGCGTTATTCGCATGATAAATTAGGTTTTCTCTTGGAATTTACTGAAATTATAACTTTCAATTATTATTATTTCTATTTTACCAAAATTTGCTAAGGATTTTATCAAACTTGCCAATTTGGAATTGAAATTATGTCTCTGGCTTTTATTGCAAAGTGAAAATGGAAAAGTAGATCTTTATAAGTGACTCTTTTGCTTTTTTGCATCACTTTTTTATGTGCTATCACATTCAGTCAACTTGCAATTTCTTTCTTTGCACTCTTTCCCACTTTCATTCTCGAATATAAATTCCACCGCCAGTCGTTTTGCGCCTGTGTGCTTCACTAGCAAACAATATTCTGGATGTGTTTTAAATTATGCCTGGGATTTGCTCTCCGCAGCGAGAGAAGATGAGGAGGGAAAATGCGAAAAAAACGCGCGCGCCGAAAGAATACTGATGCCCCGCTCGACACAGGCCTCATAACTTGAGTGAAAGTCGGCTTTCTGTCTCGCAATTTTTGGGATTTGCGCCGCACTGCACGGCCCCTGAAACGTACTGTACGAGGCCGCAAACGGGGGGTTTAGCTGCACCCCTTTTAGCTCCTGCATCGCCGTGTCTCATTCAACGCCCTTTGATGCGGCGCTTTTTGCACTCGACGGCGATTTTAATTAAATTTAATGATGTGGGGTGGGGAGATTTATCTACGCCGCGCACACGCACATTTTGCGAAACACGTAAGCATTCCTCTTGCTTAATTGCCCAAACTTAGCAGGCAGACGCGTGCGCTTGATGCAATATGTGCTGCCGCGGCGTTACCGAGTTTACCTTCAAATGAACATGCAGTACATTCGGATTTTGTTTGCGCAAGGTATCGCTGCCGGTCAGCATGTTTGTACAGAACGAAAATTGCGCTGGGGGAGCATCACAATTGCATGAATTTAATTATCAGGCTTATCATTAATTACTTTGTAGGTGATTCAAATTTGAATAAAAAATTAAATCTAAAAGAAAATGAGGTGGTTAAATAAATAAAATAAAAAAATATTATTATTGTGTATTGCGGAAAAAATTTCGTCCAAATTTAAATAAGCCCACTTAATATCAGTTTTTTAGTTCAATCACGCACTTCTGGTTATTTTCAAAACAAAACTTTTCTTTACCTCATTGCCACTTTTGTGGGGACCTAATTTTTCTTTATCTCCCGTTGAGCTTCGAGTCAGGAACTGAAATAAATTTAATTATATAAAAGAGAGATAGCAACTTATTTGAAAAATTTAGTTAAAATAAGTTAAGATTATTAGGTTAGAGATTCAAGTAGGGGCAGTTTAGTTGTTGACAATAAACCTTGCAACTTTCTGTGATTTATTAGTATCAAAGAATAAAAATTGTAATTAATAACTTGAAGCAAATAGTTTGATAAGAAATCTATGAAATTGAACTGTATTGCAGTTTTTTTTTTCATTTAATTATAAACATTTGCTTTTAATTTAAACTTGACATTAAAAGACAAATTAAAATGAATAAGTACAAACAGATTCCAAGAAAAAATAAAATCTAGAGGGTATAAGCGGCTTTTTTACTTGTGTAGTTGCAGCCTAGCTATTTTTCCAGGTCTGCTCTTTTCTCTCACTTTAAAAAATATATTTCCTCACATTTGCGCTGATAATGGTTTCCATTTACAGAGCAAAAAATCGAGGTTTAAAAGCGAACAGGACGGACGTTATTAAACCAAATTTAGCTCTTCTGCCTCCGCCTCAAATGTTTATTTGTTGTTCGGAGAAACAGAGGCACCGAAGGCAAACAGATAAATATAGCAACTCCCGTTTCATGTTTGCGTCTTCTTAATAATGTGTGAGTTTATAATATGCAAAACGCGAGCATCTCCTTAAGGGCACTGCTGACTGCAGGGGAAGGCACGTGCCGCAAATTTAATTAATGTTTACTTTGCTCGGCCGAAATGGGAAATCACTTTGGCAAACCATCCCTCGGGTGTTTTACTTCCCAGGAAAAAGCCAAAATTAATTTTTCCCTTTTACTTTCAATCGCAAAAGAAGCAGTCGGGCCGCGAGATAAGGTGGTCCCGATCTCGTTCGCCGCAACAAAGGAACCCTTGGTGCATTTGTGCTGCTCGTGAAGTGGAAGAAAAGCTCAAGTACAGAAAACGTGGAAACTGTTGGTCTAGACCTTTTGCTTGCTTTGACTCGCGCTATCTGCACATCTCCGGGAGACAAAGGAGGCTCATACAACCCTCAGGTCTCTGCCTTCTTTTATGATAATTAGGAAATTTTTCAAGTCATTTCATCTTGAAACGAGTTGCCAGCGGAAGGAAGCTGCTGGGAGCGTTATTGTTTGCTCTGCTCAACACACGGCCAGAGAGAAAGAAAGAATAAGAGAGAAACGAGGCCGATTTTTTGCTGCTTTACTTTCAATAAAACTTGCTGGATTGGCAAAAAGAGGCGATATCGCCAAGTTTCTCTCTCGTAATAGCAATTGCTTGCTGGTGGCTGCTGCCTCGAGCGCCAGAGAATAAAAAGTACCGTTCACGTGCCTCTTCCCATTATTTCTTGCCTATTGAAACACGAGCCTACGAGAGTGCGGAATATGCAAAATAAGGTTGAAAACGAGATGCACACAAATACTACGAGTCGGAAAAAGAAGGTTAAGAAAGATATGTTGACAAATTTAGTTAAAAATTGTTATAAATTTTATGAGATTTAATTTGCAGAATTAACTAAATGAGTAAAATTTTGATAATGTATTCTGTATACATATTTAATTTTTTAATTGTGAAAATCTCTTTCTGGGCACCAAAATTTAAATTTATAAAAATGTTTGGAAAGAACTATCTTTTTAAGCAGTCATCTGCTGGCTGTAAACCCTTTCTTCTCTATTTAAAATTTTTGAATTGACTAAGAATGTTAAATAAGTAACAAACAAATCTGGATAAAACTTTTTTAAATTTACTAGATATTTTGATAATTTTATTCCATCTTCTAATTTCATATAGATTGATCTGGTTCCATCAAAAATTTCATACATCGATTGATACCTCTATAGTATCAACGCAATTGATTAGAAATGTTAATAATGGTCAAAGGTCAACCACAAACATTCCAATTAGGCCCCTTTCACTGCTAGGAATGCTTAACCAATCAAATTTCAATGCGGAACATCTTCCCACGTTCCTTTGACACACCGAAGCAGTCCCACTTTTCGCTCAAGTATCTCTCTCTGGCGTGTAATCTATATTAAAATCATCAAGTTGGCTTCCTCTCGCTCTCTCACCAACTTTCTCGCACACTCCGAAAATTCGATCCAACTCTGCATGCGTATAATTCTATAATGGAGGAGGCAGAGGGATATTCAAAAATACTTGTGGTTGGCTGTGCGGCGGATATATAACTTGATCCTAATCCAACTTGTACTTTGATACCCTTTCTTCGCCACTGACTCGCTCTCCGACTGACACGCTCTCGGTCGCTTTTGCTGCATGATCGCCCTCTTAAGTGTTCCAGGATGAAAATTAAATTTCCCTCCCCTCGCTTTCTCCCTCTCGAATTATGATTTGGCCGAGGGATACGGCAAAAAGTAGCGAACGCACTCGCGTGTGTTTGAAACCCTCTCTCTCTCGAACGCATTCTTATCCCTGCAGGAAAAATTCATCGGGCGCCATTTATAGACATTAGCTCGCCCCTCTGTCGGTTTTTATGCCTCAAATTGATACCCACGGGCTGCTTATTAATTGCACTGCCACCAGTGCCCCTCTTTTGGACACTAAAAAGGGTGGAGGACGAGAAGGGTTGCGCGATGAAATCTGCTTGATTGAGTCGCCGCGGGCCTTGAACGCAACCCGCGAAGCAAATGGGTCAAACGTGTTGCATATCTTTTCAGCATCAGCAGGCGCGGGTGGAAATAAGGAGTGGCATGACCGGATTTTAAAGTAGGGATTACAACATGTAAGAGTGATAAAAAACAAGAAAGGAAAAAGTCAAACTTTATGTATGGTAAATATCCGGATGTATTTTTCTTTTTATGTTATATTTTATGGAAGCAATGATATGCAAAATGAAACAATACTGGTTGTAGAAAAAAAATGGCTTTATGATCATAAACAATTTCATTGACGCGGAAAATTGTAGAAAAGTGTGTTTTTTCAATTCAAGAACGCGCCTCGGGTGTTTACTTAATTACGTGTGTTTTCAATGTTTTATTTTTGGTAAATTTTTCTTTGTTCTAAAAATTTCAATTAAAATTTTATAATCAACTTTTTTTTGGACATGAAAAAGAGAGATGAAGTAGGATTGAAAATGAACGTGGACATCATCAGAAGGCATTTTTTTTTATGAATTAATTGAATACGAAATATATTTTAATTTTTAATGGAATTATTAATTTTTTAACTTCAAAATGTTTTGAAATGTATAATCATATTTTTTTCAGTTGAATTTTCCTCCCTACTTGCAATTCTCTTACATTTTCAAAGCCGGTCGCAAGAATAGCAAAGCAGGCGTGATCAAATTTTAAAAAGCAAAACTCATCTCCGCCTCCTCCTTCTCTTTGCAAAAACAAACAAAAAACATGAAAAATGGCAAGAGTGATGCAGACAGACCCCAGATGAAGATGCCGAAGGGCTCATCTATATTTCTCCCTCGGCTGTGCGGCCGTGATAAAGATGCACGGTTACTCTCCCTTGATATTATAACTCCCTTTATTTCGGCGGGCGCGCATTTTAAAGGGAAAACGGCGTGTCCAGAATGCTCAAGCAGCCAGCTTGGCTCCGAAAAACCGGAAGTGGGAGTGCACAAGGAATACAATATTAGCAGAAAAAAAGAGAAGGAAAAGAAGGAAAATCTGTCGCGGCGCCGGCTGCTGCTTTTATCGCGCTCTCCCTCAGTCACCCAATAACTGGTCGATTTATTGGCACTTCATCTTATTCTTTGTGCAGCTTTTTACACACACACGCTCTCAGTCAGACTAAAGAAGTTGGTGTTGTCTCTTTCTTCCTTTCTTTGTGCTCTAGATTTTATCTGATGGAAAAGAGCCGAGAGAATTGTGTGCGATCGCCGGGAATTTTTCTGCTGCGTGTCTCTGTTTGCTGATAGTTTTTTCTGGGAAAAAAATGCAGTGCTGTTTTGGTTTCCAATAAATTCAGACGGCGATGGGAAGTGGGACAATGGATTTCCGTTAAAAGTCGAGAGACGAAGAGATCTTGAACTGCATGTGCTTGAAAACTGAACCGTAATTTGTAAGTAATTATTTAAAATAATTTTAAATTAATTTTGTTTATAATTCCAAATTTAATTCATAAATGTTTTTAATTGATTAAGAAAAATTAAAAAAATTTGTTTTTGGGATCCAATTAAAGCTAATCAAGTGATTAAAAAAAAATATTAACGGAAAAACCAACTAGCAAATTCAATCAAAAAGACAAATAAAAAATTACAAAACTAAAATTATTTGTGCCTTTTCTTGACCATTAAAGAGACTGTTTCCTTAACACAAATGCTATTTCTCTTTTGCACGAACACTTTTTTTGCACCTTGTCCAGTTGTAAAAGGCTTATGACAGGTTAATTGAATGCCAAAGTGGGTTCAAGTTGGAAGCTGCAAAAACGCCTGCAGGTATTTCACTGCGTTCTCGCGAGTGGGAGAGAGAAAAAGGAGATAAAAGCGTCTGCGGGAAATCAAGAGAGAAGCAATTTAATGACACTGCGCTGCCTCTCAGCTAATCACATTGAGCACGAGGAATTTTTTGTGCGCGCGCCTTTCGCGGAGAGAAGAAAGTTTTTCAAGAGGGAATATGAAGGAATTGCGGAAGCGTTTTCTCTCTTTCGTCGTCTCAGCAACGAGAGATAAAAGGGTGGACGACATTGCTTGCTTGCTCGGCTGAGTTATTTCTCTTCGGAGCCGAGTGCTGCCACGCGCAGCTCGAGCGGCCGAAAGAATAAGAATGTAATGATCGATTTTTGCTTAAAATTAGAATGCGCGCGGGCTCGGGAAAAAAAATTCTCGAGAAATCCGTAATGCTTTTGACGTACGCACACAAAATCCGATTGAGAGCTTTCTTTTGAATGCATATTTTCTTCGGGAGATGGTGGAATCAGCAATTTTTATTTGCATAATAAAGTGAGTAAGCATTTTCTACACTGAGAATTGTCGAGAATTTGGGAAAAGTGGAATTCTCCAGTTGGCTGCTTCTATATTATACTCCGAAGCTTTATTTTTAAGGAAAAAAATCGTATAAATATTTCTATGATATTTCTCATAAAAAAAATGGCAACGAGATTTATACTTTTCTTAATATTATTGATGATTTTGAAATCAACGCGTGAAAATATTTTTTTTTAATTAATAATGTATTTAAATAGTTTTAAATAATGTATGTAAATTTATAGTGTATACAAAGAAGCAAGAGAAAAAATTGAATTTATAATCTTTAACATCTTCTCTTTTAACTTTCATATTTTCCCCTGAGAAAGTTTTTTTTTTAACATTTCCCATTTTGTCACCTGTACGCTTTAAATAGATTTCATCGGTAAACCGCCGCCCTCTTTTATGTGCTTTAGCGCTTTCCCCGAAATTGGATAATGCAAAGTTTGCTCAGGAACCCACAAGATTGATTAAAAACTTGGCCTGCTTCCGGCACACACAGAGGCAATCTTTCAAAAGCAAACTCCAAGTGGCGGCAACAAACGCAAACAGCACACACAAATAATTTCGGGGCAGAGCAGTCGGCGTCAAAAAGCAAGTGGCCTTCTCTTTATATAATTGTGGACCCTTCTTGGCGCGGACCAAGTAGATGAATGACTTGGGCGCTCATCAAAGTTTGAGCTGCCGGATTAACCCTTGACCTTTGCCGTCTCGAGCTCGAGTTCATTTATTCCGGACGTGTCCCGGCCAAGATAGAGAATTCATTCGTCCTCTCCACATTGTTCCAAAGACTAGGGCCACCGCGTTATTAGTGGTCATTGTTGCTGTTGCTCGGGGAGAAACGTCGTCCCTGTGTGTCTTTTGTTTACCCTCGCCGGCGGTATTCAAAGAGCAAGAGAGGGCGAAACGCGCGCACGCAGGGCCAATAATAATAACAAAGAGAGAAGAAACACGAACCGCTCGTGTCAGGGAGCCGCACACTCTACATGCTGCGAGGGCCGCTCACTTTCCTTTATAAGGCCAAATCCAATAACAAATTCTTCATCCCAGCCTCACTGCACACATGGCGGAGAAGTCTACCTTTGGCTTTGTAACTTCTCTTTCTCGGGGAAAAAAAATACAGAGGGGTGATTTAAAAGGAAAAAGAGCGGCAGTGGAGAGAAACAAGGAATTTTTAGTAAAAGACATGATGAAAGAAGATTTTTGTTGAAAGTTTTAAATTCAATCAGTTCATGTCAAACTTTTTTAGGAAGTAATTGCATTAAATCGGTGGAAATTAATTTAAAAATTATTATTTTAGTTTAAAATGAGATCATATAATTAAAACAAATGTAAAGCAGCGCCACTCTATGTTTATCTAAAAAGAGCGGGAATATTTTAAATGGTGGAAAAAATAACAAAATCATAGATCATGGTTTGCAGTTCCAGTTTTTCCAAAGGAGGACAGAAGTCTTCATTCAGGTTCGAGGATTATGAAAATTATTATATTTTCCATATTTGTGTCCATAAAAGTATTTAAAAATTTCTAATGAAATTTTATTTGTATTTATAAGCTGGAATTAATTTGATTAAATATCTAGCAAATTCAACCAAGTATTGAGAGATCTACTTTCATTTGCTTTAATTATTGATTTATGGTACGTGTTCTGATTGAATACGTAGCGAATAAGGTCAAGGATTATTAGAGATCATACTAGTAATTCAATATAGTGACTCAGCAGATTGCAAAAACACATAATATCCGTCATGCCTGGCAGCAATCAGCAGCAACAATTGCGAAGGTGACACGGTGCACGTTCCAGATACATCGTCTGTCAATCGACCGTACGCTAGGATGCACTGCAGCCAGGGCAGGAGCTCGTTGGTAATGCCAGTGTCGCCATCAAGTTGCGGTAATGGGGCTTAAACCCGACACTTTGGGCATGTGAGGCACGTCTGGCGGTTGAAAGGCCGCGCGTCCGACCAATAACGATTCCGGCCGGATAGAAATGTATTTAATATTCAACGAGCAACCAAACATTTCGTTCGATTTATTCAAAAGTAAATTATTGCTTGGAAAGTAACGAAATGATTTCAGTCTCGGACGGAGAAAGAAAATCAATTCGCACCTCGCGATGATTTGTTTCTCTTCTCTTTCGAAGAGAGAAAAAAATATCAGTTTTGTGTATAGTTTCAAATGCGAACAGTGCTCGTAAATCTGCTGGCGGGGGGCGTCGGCAAAAGTTTTTATTTCGGCCCGCGGGCGTCAAACATCTCAATGGCGTGATGAATGGTCAGAAATTCCGCGATGAAAGATGGGCCAATTTTCGCGAGCGTGCGGCCGCGCGTGCTATAAATAAATCCACACGTACCGCAAGCCTCTTTATCTTTTTTGCACAGCACTCGAATTGCTCGCTAATGGCGTAAATTATGGCCGGACCTGCCCGCCGACGGTGCTGTGGCGACGCTAATGGTTAAATTGTGTGTGTACAACCTTGGTTTGCCGATGGTGTACCATCAGATCACACTTACACGTGTGCGGGCGGTCAACGAATTTTTAATCGGAATTAATTGTCAAATTTCGCAAACAGTGAAGCAGCGTAAATTGAATATAGTTAATAAAAAAATACAATTTAACTTTTGTTTATAAATAAATATAATTATTAAGTTTTTGTTTTAACCTTCTTATATTGTATTTTATCATTTTTTTTTATATTTGATTTCTTTTTAAATAAATAAATTAAAATCTTTTTTACAAATGTTTTATAATTAATATCGTAGTAAAAAAATTTTCATTGAATATTATTTTTCTCTTTTTTTGATGGAAGTAAAACTTAAAACTATAAATTTTATGCTACAGTCACATTTACATTATTGATGTCAAATTTATTGATACAAACTTTCTTTGGCATTCGGCCCAGTTTACTATGAATTGCATTTGATATTAATTAAATTATTATTCTACTTCGAGTTAAACTTGAAATATAAAAATGAAAAATAAAAGCGTGGATTCACGAAGATTCTTTTACTCTACTTTTTACTTTTTTGTCTTCATTATATAACCATGCATATTTAACATTAAATTTAATATATCAGCTACTTTTCAGCTATATTTCTGTTATGAACTTTGATACAACAATAATTTCCATCTTTAAATGTAAAAAAAAGGCATAAGTTAAAATTCCGCGCGAATGAATGCGTTTTTGATCGGAGGATTCGCTCGAGTTGATCCGCATAAAAGATCCAGATCGGATTTTCCGGTTGGTGGGAAATAAGCGCGCGGGGGTGTATCGCTCGTGCATCGATAAGCATGCAGTGAGGCGAGTGCCAGAGGTGCAAGCAGGAACAGGTAGAATGGAATACGCACTTCGCCACTCACCGTCCGTTCGCCCAGATTTCGAACGCGGCAGTGGAGGAACGCGGAGCCGCCCAGCTGCACGGTCACGTTGCTGATTGTGTTGTTGTCGAAAGTTGGCTCGTTCAGCCGCTGAAATTCTTCAAAGTTGGAATACCACAGGTTCTGCCACTCCGTGTGCCGATGTGGCGCCTCACGTCGTCCTGAAACACAATTTTAGTTCGATTAAAATTTTATTTCTGATCTTTAATTTTAAAAAGGATTTTAATTGAAAGAGTTTAGATTTAAATTGTACGAATTTCCTGATTTTTGTTTTCAGTCGAGAATATTTTTTGCAAGAGATTTGAATAAACAGTGAAAAATCTGACTATTGCACCACAACCAAATTAATTACCATTTTTTTAAAATTTCTATTAAGAATAAATTAAAAATTGGCGAGCAGCCAGCAAAATTTGTGATCATGAATTTTCTATCCCCACATAAAGTTCCTAGGAAATATTCTTCATTTAATCTTTAACACTTGGAATGGTAAGTAGGTGATCCGCAATTATTTTCCTAGCCCGTATTAATTATTTTGAAAAACAACAGATTTATTTTAATGGTGTTGTGAGAATTACTTTCAACTGCTTGGCTAGGCATAATCAAGGCATAATCGTGCTTCCAGTTCCTTTGATTATAGAAACGCAAACAACAACAAAGCGTAATTGCAGGCAAGAGTCGTGGAGAAAAAAGTGTGTATATGTTTTTATCAAAGACCTTTTGCGATTATACAAAACAAATTAATAGAGCACACGAGCTTTGCCGCAGCAGTGATTGCACTCGATGAAATTTTCCTTGCGTCATCCCGTCGACAATTTCTTTTAACACGAGAAAGAAACAAGGAGCTAAACTCATTATATTCGCTGTCGATTTAATTAGTTGCGAAGTAGGTCGCGAATAAAGTAAAAGATATTATATGAAGAAATTGCACGCGCTGCCGGCATATCGCATTTTAATTAGAGCAGATTGCATTTCAATCGGAGTAATGCATCGCTGTGGATTCCCTGCGGATCTGATGTTAAAATGATAGAGAGGTAAGTCAATATTGCAGGCAAATACTAATTATTGTAATAATAATGGCGCAGGATAATATGAAATTGAGCTCAGAACTGTTGAAATTGATATTGGATAGCGTGGTGTAGTGAAAATGGAATTCCAATCAGGGGGAAAATCTTGCAATCAATTTTGAATGCTCATTGTAACTAAATATGGAAAATGCATTCAATTATTTTTATTTCATTTGTAGAAACCAATGCACGAGATGATTTTAAATTTAAATATGGCGGGTACTTGGTTGGTTTTGTAAACTTTTTGTAATCCATTAAGAAAATGACTCACTAATCACAAAGGAAGCCCGACGATTTCAATTTCAAATAATTATCTTTTAACAGTGATACAAATTATTAGCTGATTATTTTATAAGTGTGAAAATAATGCGCTCAATTTTCAAACCAAAAATTAAATTATTCAAATAATATTTAGGTATTATTAGTATTTTAAATTGATGTTAAATGAGAACGTTTGATTTAGTACATCAAAAGTGTTAAATTTTTTCCTCCAATCAATAGGGAAAGTAAATAATCTTGAATGCTGAATGAATTTAAATTTTAAAAATAGCAAAAAGGAAACTTTTGAAAATTGCATGGAAATTAATTTAAAAAAATGCCTAGTATGAAAATTATAAGAAATACACGTTTAACTTAATTATAGAATTCTTATACATGATTTGAATTTTCCATAAAATGTATGTTATTGTATTATTTTTCTAGTTAAATAAACTATCAATAAACCAAACCAATAAATTTTCTTTTTATTAATTACAAATTCAAGCATATGAAAATACTGCTAATCGTCTCCCTTTCCTCTTCAGCTGTCAGTCTGGCCAATTAAAACGGACATGCTCACTTTTTTATAAAGCGGGCCACATAAAAAACCGTTTCAAATTTAACGAAAGCCGCAACGTGTATGTTTGGCAATTCGACATGTGCCCGGCGGAATGTTTGCCTTGTCAAATTACTTGTCTCGCAGTCACACAGATGGGGAAAGGGCTGGGGGAGCCGCGGCCGGGAATGATGTTTGGCCAATCGATAGAATTCCCGATGCATTCAAGTCAGCAGATATTTGGCATTTCGGTGGCCCACCATCGGAATTGAGTGACAGCTCACTAATTAGCTGCTTGTCGCCCGGCCGCCGCCGATATTGAAATCAGGCAGAGAGAAATTGTGCTGCTCTCGGCACGAAAATTCGGTCCCGCGCGTTTTTGCGCCGAGCTCAGCGCAAAAACGGCAAAATGAAAATCAAGGCAGCTGCCGGCCTTTCTTTGTTGGCGAGCAATCATAAATATTAATAATTTCCGGGGGCACATGTGCGCGCTGCAGAATGACTCTCGCAGCGTGGCAAAGACTCCATGAATTTATATTTACCAATAAGCGCCGGCGTGCGGTGCGGGCCAGAAAAAGCCTCCCCGATCATATTTTATGCGCAATAATTCACAGAGCGCGTCTTGCGGAAGAAGAAGAAGAAAAAACGAAGGGAGCAGTGCACGTCCTCTTTGTACAAGATAAAATTTGCCGGAGGAAAAATTATGCGTCTAGTCTGAAATTTCCATAAACGCCGGTTGGTTGTGTTTAAAAAATAAAAACTGGTTCGAGAAGTGAAAAATTGAGCTGTAAAAACATGAATGAATTTTTTTTCTCCTTCAATAAAAAAATAAATACAGAAAAACTCTAATCAATAAAATAAAACCAAGAGAATTTACAGATCCCACAAAAGAGGAATTAAAAATTGCCACTCAGTTTGGACTTTGTCAATCGATGAGTTGGAAAAAGTAAAATAAATTCCAGAACATCCCGATCAAAACATTTGAATTCTCTTATCAATACCCAAAAGTAACTTGCATTTAATTATTTAATTGATTTAATTAATAATAATTGTAAAAAAGAAAATCCTCCAGATTCAAGCTTTGGGGGAGGAATTTTAAACCTTTGAAAGACCCGTTTTAACACTTAATAGTGTATTTTTTATTTTTATCACAGGAATTAAAATTGGACGTTTCTTTAACAATTTCAGGACTATAAAAATAATTTCTTCCGAGATCCTTTAAATATAATTCAAATAAACGTCCAATCAATAACAGGTGATAACTTTTGACGCAGTGAAATCGAAATTTGAAAGTTTTCTTGTCAGCAACAGACCATGGATTCAATTTAGGTATATTATATTGATTGCTAAAAACGCCATTTCTACAGTTATAAAAGCCTGCGTCATTTTTCTCTCTTTCTTTTTTTTCCCACTCTGACTGAATTCAACAATTTGCCGGCTCAAATGAAAGGGAGAAAGGTAATGGAGCAGTCGACTCGTGTGAGCAGAAAAACGCCCTTTCTCTCGTCTCGCCAGTCACACACACCGTTTTATTCCAGCATTTCAGTGCGGTCAGTCACATGTGAAAATATTTTCAGATTGGACGACAAGTTTTTCTACTTATGACGGCCTGATTCATTCGTTCTCTCTGCTCCCTTTTTTCGCTCTCCGGCCACTTTTGCACCGAGAGTAGAAAGTGTTTGTTTGCAGTCGATTTTGCGTCGACGGATAAAAAAAAAATGGAGCCGACTGTGTAGCTAAAATAAGGCGTATATACATATGAGGAAAAGTGAATGTAACTTTTTCTATTCGCAGCCGTAGTGTGAAGAATAGGAAAACTTTTGGAAGTTGTTGACACTGCTTTTGTATAACTTCTCCAAAACAGTTTTAATTCAATTTAATTTTGATGTTATATAAATATATGAATAAAATTGATTCGCAGTTAATATGAACCGAATATTTCTTAAAATTCAAACTTCTAAACACGTTTTTCATTGTTTTGGCCTGAAAAGCATTTTATTTTCTTATTTTCTAATTTTTTTCTAATTAGGATTGAGACAAAAAGTCAATTTTTTAAATTAATTATATTAGGTAAAAATTAAATTAAATAAATTAATAAAATTAAAGAAGTTAAAAAATTGTGACAAATAAATATAATTATTTTATTCATAACCAAAGCTTAAAATTAAGTCTTTTAAAATGTAAAATAATTAATGATACAACGAGTTGGTGTTACTGGGTCCTTAGTTGTTTATTTCTTGCTCATAAGTGTGTGCATAAGTTTCGCCACCGTTCTCTCTCTTTTATTGCGTAATAAATACGTGTGCGGCGCCTGCTTTCGGCGCCCGATTTAATTGCCTGGAGAGGCGCAAACTGGAATAATTAGCTAATTTGGTTAGGCGGGCGGGCGGGCGCTGCAGCAGAAAGGGCCGCTTCCGATAATTGCTTTTTAAGCGCACGGCGGGTGCACGTGTGTGAGTGACTATTTATAATGCATGTGCGTGTGTTTGAGCAGCGGCGGCTCCAACTTTGTGTGTGCGAAATAATAAATTCCCTGCGCTCGCTCTGTGGTCGCCCCAGCTTGTGTACAAAATTAAAAACCAATTTGGCGCCCCGCACCACCGGCAGACCTTGCTGCGCCCTAATTATTTACCAAAGCAAGATTAAATTTGCTCCTCTCGTGCAATTTTGATTATTCCAGCATGTTTGCCCGATTCCGCCGGTCTCCGAGGGTCCTGCTTTGCCTGTGTTTAAGTTAGCGCGTCTGTAAATAACCTTGCCTGATTGAGTTTAAATCAGCAGTGTAGCCAATGATGTGTTTATTTTTTTTAAATGAAGTATATTTATTTGAGTGAAGTTACAAGTCCAGCCAACTCCAAACGGAGTTATCGGCCGGTGCTTATTTGACTGGAAAGCAAGACTTAAAAGCCAGGCAATCCAGTTCTATAAAAAAACTTCACCATCTGTCTCTTATTTAAGCTTTGCAAAGTATAAACGAGCAAAATAATTAATAATTATATAATATTTATGCAAGGAAAGGAAATGAATTAATGTTGCTATTTTAATTCGTTTTTGTTTTTTAAGATATTTAAAAATATGTTAATCTGGAGAATGAAAATTAATTGCTTATCATTTTGAACTAAAATTTTGAATGTTTCTGTGCTGTATTTTACAATGTCATTGAAAGCGCTTAAAAGTTTAAATCTACTTTTTTTCATTAAAAATAAGTAATTTCTTCAAGAATTTTAATTTGGGTTTGCTTATTTTTTGTAGCTACAAAAAAAGATAATATCCTAATCTATAT